TTTCCACGTTCACAAAATTTTCTTTCCGTGGAAAATTTTTCTGAGTGGAAGAAGTTCGTAAATACAATTTGTTTTTACACTCTGTTTCTATAATTCGAATTTTGACAATTTCCGTTTTCCTATCTTTTAGGATAACGAACAATTTCTGGACACAGGCAAGTAGAGTAATATGTTGAATGCACGATTAAATTTAATATTTCGGGATCTGGTCGGGTGGTGGGCCGAACGTTTTCTTGCCCGATAAGTACAATATCTTAAAAGCATCAGGTTTACACTTTTGCGACTATTCTATTTGACATTTACCCTATACATATACTCCATATTCCACTAGAGTGTACGTAAAAATATAAAAAAAAGCGTTTGTCCAATATGACATTAAAGAAGTGGTATTTTATTGTCTTGCTTGATCGTCCTGTTTTACCAATCCTATAGAGGCACCCTTAAGGATAAAACCCTGGGTACGAGGTTGCCCTAGAGGATGGTTATATTTCATATACAACATTTTCGTCCAATTAAATGTTATCAAAAAATGGTTTGCCAACAAATACTCTTCGGGAACCCCAGCCTTCACTTATGACCCGTTCTTATACAGGGACCTGCACCCCAATAATTTTTCTTGTCTATTGCAGATTTTGTACCGGACGATCCTATGTGGTTCGAAGACGAGCTCGATGAAAAAGAGTTGTTTGATGGTAACGACGAACCATTCAGGTATACTACTGTTGTTTATTAGGTACAAGTTTTTCATTGTTCTCTTTGTCCCCTGAGTTTATCCTCAGACCTCGTTTGTAATTTGTTTTATTAGCAGTGTGAGTGAACAAGATATCGCGGGTTGTTATGAAAATCTTAGAAATGTTGTACCTAAAAGTGAAGAAACCACGGACGCGGTGAGTTGATTATCTGACGGAATAAGAGTGTTTTTTAAAATTATTATGTAAAAAACATACCTTTCCAATAGTGTACATGCGCCCTGGGATGCTTCTACTCCTACCTTATTACTCTTCAATTACGTTAGTATCAAGAAGACATAACAAAAATTAATAAATAAATTAAGAAAAATTAAGTTCTTACAAAAATTGTCATGGTTCTGTGATCTAATCTCACTGGGAATATAATTCCAGTCTCTTATAGTTCTCGGAAAATAACTATATAAATAATTTGCCCTCGCTTGGATAAAAGTAGTACTTCATAATTCAGTATTTACTATAAGTAGTACTTCATAAAAGTAGTACTGCAAATCTAGCTTTATCTATAATGTTCACCACATTGTCTTTAATATCAGATTCTTACTGAAGCTGTGGAATACATTAAGAACCTTGAAGAAACACTTGATGGTATGATGTATAAAACCTTTTATAATACAGAAGCCTTGTTCGAGTATGAATCTTAGTTGGTGCATTTTAGTGGTCTTCGCTTTCCTGCATCGTCGTTTTCTGCATTGCCATTGATTTTTAGAATTCATTTTTATCTTCAGGTTTCAGTCGTGATGAAAATGTGGAAGTAACTAACGAAGAGGAATCAGATAAATCGACTGTGTTGAAGAGTAAGTTTTGTTTAGGACTTACAGAAAATATAAACTGGCATTCAAATTGGAGAGTTACATTAGAGGCCATTCATGATTAGGAATTACGCTTCCATTTCTAATTGTAGGTTGTGAAGATGTTTTAGAAATCTTACCTCAATTTTCATGGAACGAAATAGACGAAGCATCCTACGGTAAATCTTGCTCTAATACGTTTTAAAAACAAAATCTCAAAGTAAAATAATTGCTACATTTCTACCAGTTTATAATTACTCTCCCTATAAAAGTGCAGTATACATATTTAACCCATTGAGCGGCAGCACTCTCCACTTGACGAGTAAAATCGTCTGGCGTTAGACAGAGTAAAATACTAAAGTAGGGTGCATTACCACTTAAAGGGTTAAGATCATAACTGAAAAAGCATGTTGCAGTAATCGAATTTCGATCAGACGTGCTCTTGCAATAAGCGCTGTGTCATCAACACCCTAACTTCTGGACTTATACGCAGCGTTTATAATTTTCTTACATGAGCAGAAATCCAGAAAATCCTAGACAACCTAAGTGTGCCAGAAGAAGCCAGCATGGACGGTTGTTGTGGAGAACTGCCTATAACTGAACTTCAAAACGAAATCCAAGAAAAACCAACCAAAAGAAAACGAAAGTATCAAAAGAGTTGTAGAAAACAGAAGATTTCAAGGAAGCAAAAGAAATCTTCGGAAGTTAACACCAACCAATCTCAGTATGATGACACGAAGTCCAACGAGGCTCCTCAGTGCTGCCGTGATGATAATTCAAACAGTCAAAGGTAAATGATTGGTTAAATTGATGTACTGGTATTTTTCACAACATATTGTTTAGAGTTATGTTTTGCTTTTCAAATAGGAGTGACTGTGAATCTGTTTCCGTTCTCGAAGACAACATAAGATCAAACTCGTCAAGCAGAAGTAACAGCCAAGGAAGCCGGTGTGTCACACCGATATACCCCAAACCAACACCTGGAGTCATATTAAGTCCATCTGTTACAGGGTTTATCCCTCTACAAACCATAGGCAAACCTTTGATCTTACCTAAACCACCCTACCAAGATGACTGTTTCTCACCAACCTCGCTACGGTCACCGCTGACCTCTCCGCAGCTAGTGCCGACTCTCCGAATGGTACCCACGGCCTGTCCTGTAACAGTCTCTGAAGCACCACCCATCCTTCCACAATTCTTCCAAGACATAACCAAAAGTACCAGGTCACAATGGTTAGGTTCAATAATCAAGGTGCCTGCTAGGAGATACAGTACTAGGACAAGAAATAAAGAGAGAATTCAAGACAAATGTGCCGTGGAGAAGGGGCCACAAAAGAAGACGATTCCCAATGGTTATATGCTTTACTGCAAAGATAAGAGAAATTCTGTTTTTAAGTAAGTACTGAGCAAGCGCCCTGGAACAGGATTTTATCGTTTTGAAATTTAAATCCCACTGTTCTCCATGCCATCTAGTTACCCCCTTATTTAAGCTGGAGATACGAGCAACAAAATTGCTGCAACAAAATCTGATTTCTACGCATGTTAATCGAAAATGTTTAGAATACACATAAATTACAAATCACAAGGCAACATGTGTCGACATTTCTACTAACATGCGTTGAAATCAGATTTTGTTGCAAGTTGCAGCAATTTTGTTGCCCGTATTACTCTACCTTTAGAACAAATCTAATGAACATTTTTATTTTGCTGTAGAGAGAATCCCAAGCTGCAATCTAAACCTGGAGACATAACTAAACTTTTGAGTGAAAACTGGAATCAATTATCAGAGGAGGAACGAAGACCTTACGTGTAAGGGACGGACCATTAGAAAAGTGATGTGGGGGGGGGACATTTCCAACCTGTACGATTATTTTTTCAAAATATTTGGCGTGTGTCGATAATTTTTTTAAAAAATAATCCCTTTGCTTGAATTTTATTTTTTTTCCAAAAAGTGTTGGCGAGCAGGGGGGGGGGGGAAGGAGGTTAACATTTTTCAGGACACTGTCAAAAAAAAATTTTCCGGACTAACATCAGTTAAGTTAAGGTTAAAAAAAAATATCCCTCACGAATTCTTGTTAAAACATGCTTAAAACTTTTTTTGCACCAATATCTTCAAGATTTAGGTTTAGAAAATTTTCTTCAGGACCAAATTTGTAATTCTTCCAAAACTGAGACAAATGGCTACGCCCCTGCAAACTACCTAAGTAATAAGTTATTGATTATCACTTTCTTTTTCTAACCAGGGAAGAAGCGATGAAACTGCGAAATGATGAAAACAAGTGGATAAATCAAACACCATGATGTGATTCAGGCCAGTATAACGTTGTGTGTGACATAGCGTGTTGTCGGTAATGATCTTATGTCGAATGGCAAATGATCTTATGCCGTTGAATGTTTTACTGGTAATAGGGTCTGCATTTGTTGTACATTACATATATACCTTGGTTGTGTACTTGTGTTCCCAATTCAATTTTACCAAAAGAAATCATATATTAGTATATGCTCAAATCGTTGTGCACCTATGTGTCAGAGTATTTTAAGTTGCATTTTCATGGCATTCTGTTAGTATTGTAGTTGCATAACCACTGAAGGCCCACTCTGGGGTGGTAACTCGCCTAAACTCACCTCGAGATAATGCACGTTTGGGCGATTTAAGCTTCACTTGGGAGAACAGTATTTTACTGATTGTGACTCTGTATAAATGAAGCTTCTATTCTATTCTATGCTATAGCAAAAACTGCGACTTTTAAGCAATGCGAGTTTGGGTGATAAGACAGGTTAAGGTCCCAGTGTAGGCCTCTTTGAGTATTTTAATGAAATACAAAACAACACTAACTCCGAATATGAGCATTTTCAAATAAAATTAACATGCTCATATTTGTTACATGTGAGTTACCATTGTTTTGTATTCTGTCAGCAGTGATGACTGTATCAGTATAATAAAGTACATACTGAATGATCATCACTGATCCTCTGACCAGTTCCTTTTACATAAAGTTGTACAGTACATCACTTGTATTTATTGAAAATGTTTGAATATTTGTAAAGATGTTTATATATAATTATATACAAAATAAAGCGGTTTAAACTGGCAGTTATAAACAAAAATCAGAATTACATATGATGGCCTTTTATTTTTGACACAAATTCCAGAAAGAGAGAAAATGTTACTTCATCCAGGAGGCCAGTTCAGCAAGCGGCCTCCAATAATATGGATATGTAGATGATAGACTGACTGTGCACCATCTCGACCATCATTGATAACTAGAAATGAATCATTTATACTAGTTCATATAACACCAGGTGTAAACTATTTCCTGAGGTGGCCTGAGGACTGGCAGTATACTTGCTCCATGTACAGCAATGGTTAATTTTCTATATCTTAGCAATGACAAGAAAACCACTTACCAATTCTATAGCCTGATTCAGCCAAGCCTTCTTGCTTGGCAACATTTTTAGCTGTCATCAGCAAGTGTCCTAGTAACTAGAAAATATGAAAATTTATTTTCCGTTTGCCATCTCTTCCATAATCTTTCTAATTCCACCATTCCAACTTATCTTTTGTCATCCTGTGATCTTTCTACATATAATCCCTTTGGATATCAAAATTTCCTCCTTGGGGATAAGGTGGATCTTTTCAGGAACGACCCATTCTCATCTCTGTTCTCTCTCATAATCTATATTCCCTCTCATAATCTCTATTCCCACTTCCTGAGTTCCCACATTTCAGTTGCATACACATACTTACAAATATTCTAAGAATTGTAGTAATTCTTGGAATACACCTAGTATTTATTGGATACCTGTGTGTCGTCCTCATTCGCCTCGGATAAACGTGTAATCGGTTTTCTTGGAATAACCAAAACATGCTTTGGAGCAACAGGATTGACATCTCTGAATGCAATACACTAGGCAAGAAATGTAACTTTGTCATGAAGTTACCATAAAGAAGACTCCATCAGCAGAACATATAGGGGATTTGGTCAAATCCCCAACCCTTGCCTGCATTGGGTCATTCCAGAAAACATCCATACCCTCCCCCCTTCAGACATCCTAATACACTTACTATTATCAGAAGCAAATGGACAGCAGAAACTTCCTTCGTGGGGGAGGGGGTGCAGATGTTTTCTGGAATAACTCATTCCCAACCTTTTCCACTTTCTCGATATATGCACAACCGAAATCTATTAATATAACTAAACTAATATACAGGGTTCGGGCAGGTATGGGTTTGTGCATATATCAAGAAAGTGCCCCACCCTTTGGAGCCACATGAGGTTCTAATAACAAAAAATTAGCATTGTTGTTTTTCAAATTTTACCCATAATTGCAAATATATATACCTTGTCATCCTCGTGAATAATGTCCGCAGGGATCTCCTTACGAAGTATTTTGCCAAATATCGTATCCCCCGAGGTATATTTCCCCCCTTGGTACTCCTCCGCCGCTAGCTTTGCCTTAGACATTTCATCACACCCCTCGCCCCTGCCTGTTGAGCAAAATTTCTCCACCCGCACACCTCGGGGTAGAAAACTTAATGTTGCAACCGTGGTCACTAAAAGACGACGCGAGATTAAACTAAAAGGACGCAACACAAGCGACATTTTGCAGGTAGACCATTCAATGTCTTTTATGGTTATATAAAAGTTGTTCGCACCCCCCGGAAATATTATTGCAACGCAAATACGACCGGGGGGAAGAGGTTTTGCAGAAATCAGAGAAACCTTGCGCCACCAAAGTTTTACCGTAAGAAACGGTTCTGAAGTTCTTTTCTAGCCTTCAAAAGCTTCTATTCTTAGGCCATATGGAAATTAAGGAGTATTGTTGCAGTAACGTGCCATTAAAGGCCATATAATTTATAAAGGGGGAAAATAAGATAAAATAAATTTTGAAATATGATAAAGTTGCAACAGTGCCACCTTAATATCGCGCGGTTCCATAAATAAGCCTGGTACCTAATTACGAAACACGCGGTGATTGCATCAAAATGGCGGATTTTTACGTTCGCTATTATGTTGGACATAAAGGCAAATTTGGACATGAATTTCTCGAGTTTGAGTTCAGGCCTGATGGTAGGTTGACAGAATGTTATCTAGGGTGATAGGTTAGGTTGGTTTTGTGTTGTGGTTGCAAGTAGTTTGTGTAAATTTGGGTATTTTGTTAATGGAATTTTGTCATCATCTTGGCAGGTAAATTGAGATATGCCAACAACTCGAACTACAAGAATGATACTATGATTAGGAAAGAGGTGAGCAATCACAATGAGATCATTTTACACAAATTACAAGTATCTATTCCATCGGCAACGGTTTCTTGAATGAGGTATTTGGGCCAGACACCCCATCTGATCTCATGAGATTAACCAGGGTGGAAAGTTTGTAGGTTGCGCCGAAGATCTTCGGCGTGGAAAATTCACAAATTTGCTCCATTTTGGCGCAGAATTATGGGAAAATGAACTGGTGTGGCGCACTGGCGTACAAAAATTTATTTAGTTGTGCACACTACAACGTTCTCAACCATTTCTATTTGTATTTTAGCCATGTAATAACGGGAATTTGATTGAGCACTGACTGTGAATATGTTTAAAACAGGATTTGTGCAGCCACTGGCGCCTGTCACAGTGATTTCGGTTCCCCCGTGAAATCGGTTCCCCCTCGGATAAAATTCCTCCATTATAACCGGAACTTTATGCCTATCACAGTACAGGCAGGCGGCAGAATTTCCCTTGATGTCCAACATGGCGACCGTCGAGAGAGTGATCGGCCCGGTATTTGATATATAAAATCATTATTTTGAATTTGTTTGCTGAAAATTTTCAAAAATTAGGAAATTGAATTAGTCAGTTTTGTTCCTTATGGTAATTTTTTGTCTTTATACCTGGAAATACACCTCATTTTACAGACACGAAATTGACATCAAGACCCATGTTTAATAACACTGTATTTATAATATATACTAGTTTCAATCAGTTTTGTTTGAAATGATACGAAATACTTATGTAAAGTCTAAAATCTATATCATTGTTTAGTTAGATACTTAGATTTTCATTAATGATTGCAAATTTGGACAAAAGTCCCGCGCTTATTTTTATCAAAACCATTGAACTATATCGTATATAAAGTATAGTTCAATGATCAAAACAAGGGAAATTCTGCCGGTACTGCGATAGGCATTAAGTTCCGGTTATAATAGAGGAATTTTATTCGAGGGGGAACCGATTTCACGGGGGAACCAAAATCACTGTGACAGCGCATGTTACTGAACCTTGATCAAATCTTTGGCGCACAAAAAACAAACTTTCCACCCTGGAATTGAGATATGATATATTTTTCTAGGCTTTTGTTTCAAAGCGAGTGATGGGGGAGTTGAAACGAATTATAGACGACAGTGAGGTATGTATGGAACCAAACCGTATTTGTACTAGAGAAAAATTTGGGTTGCTTTTTTTGGCCAATCTAGTTATCCTGTCATACCTGACAAGCATTTATTAGTTAGATAACTTCGTGTTATATATTTGTTATTTTCACATAGATACTCAAAGAAGATGATTCACTCTGGCCCCAACCAGACAGAGTTGGTCGACAGGTATAATATGATATTATTTCGATTATCAATAAATCTTGAATGTTTTAACCCATTGAGCACAAGCACACTCCCCCTGATGAGTGAAATTTTCTGGCATTAGCCAGAGTAAAAGTTACAAAATATCACCCACTTGAACCGACTTGAGCTCAGTTGGTAGAGCATTGGACTAGTATTCCAAAGGTCGTTGGTTCGATTCCCACCGTGGACAGGCAAACTTTTCAGCTTGCCATGTGTGGATGCATACTTAAGGTGGATTTCCAGTACTTGCATGAAGCTCCTCGCTGCGAGTGCATGCATGAACACTTTCATCCAATCACAATGCAAAACAGTTCATTTTAATTAGATGCAAGCACTTGCAGCGAGTTGCGAGGAGCTTCGTGCGAGGACTGGAAATCCACCTTTACAGTAACATGACAATTGACAAACATCATATTTACCTGAGTACATAACACCAACACACACAAAGGGTTAGGGTCGGGCGGTTCTGGGTGAAAATCGAAAACCGTCTGAAAAAAACGATGTTTTTTAATGAAAATTTCCTTATGAAGAAAATTTAAAGGAAATTTCATAAAATAGTGGAAACACTGGGTAAAAATAATATGGCGGCCATTTCGGTTGCGAATTACGAATATTTTGGTCTTATTTTCGCTCGATGATCCTCTAATACTCTATGCTTTGCGTGCTGTTTCTACAAGTTTCAAGTATTTTCCCGATTTTTTTTTTTGCCAAAAGAAAAATCGATTGAATCGGTTTTTAAAAAATCGGTTTTATCGATAAACCACCCAACCCTACAAAGAGTAAAATAATGTTTTTATTTTACTCAGGAACTTGAAATAGTGATGGACGGGTTGCACATTGCATTCACAACATCAAAAATTGGATCGTTGGTTGATGTTAACCAATGCAAGTAAGTTACTGGACATTGTACTGGTGGATTTTTAAAATTCTTGTTATTTTTGTATTACAGAAAATAAAAATCGAAATATGCTTCGTGATTCACGAATCAAATTTCGAACTTAATAATGCGAAATTTAGGCAAGTTATTAGTTTTTATGATTTGCTAAAATGAAACTCGAGTCTGTCACGCTAAGACAACGTTACAAGTAGCAGCCATCTAAAATATGTGCAAAATTTCCATCAGTGAGTTTGAAGTTTACGTGGGTGTTTTTACCGGTGGCGCAATGTTTTTAAAAAGCTAACTTCAGCTGGACAACATTAGTATAGAACCATAAGTATACTAAGTATAAATATACTAAATTGAGTAGATTCTATTGCTCCAACATAATTTTAATCATAAATATTATTTATAATTAAGTTAAATTATTAATCCATATAAAAATGTTGCTATACTTGCAATAACAAACTATTTTCAGAAGTAATATAATCTGTGTCCAATAAAGACATCTCTTTTCTTGTTTTAGTGATGCAGATGGCCTGAGATGCCTGTACTATCTCGTACAAGATCTTAAATGTCTTGTTTTTTCGTTGATTGGCCTCCATTTTAAGATCAAACCGATCTAATCACATTCTCGGGTCTTCTGGGTCTTCACTCCTTGCGTTGGAACAATGTATATAATAATAACACCACAACAACAAAACTGAAACACAGGCACACATATTCTTCACCCCTTTCCTTTGAAGGTTGAAAATGTATGAACATATACTTAAGAATTACGCTTGTTGCCATCCAGGTTTCTGATTTTTAATGAATTTCCCTAAATCTTTTTTTGTGGTTTACTCCAAACAATAGTAAAATTTAAGATGATTTTAATTGCATCCAGTATGAATTTATAAAATTCTAATTTATTTCATACATTGCAACACTGTATTGTAAAGTTAACTTAAACCATTATTATTAAAGCGTCCTGCTGTCTTTTACCTCAAAACTTGTATGTCTTCAGTAATCATGCCAGTAAATTCAAAGCTAAAATGAACATGTTTGTGACTCGCTTCTGTAAAATAGCGACAAAGCCGGCAAATGTTTAGTATGTTAGTCTTGTGCACACTAGAGCTATGTGCTTAGCAAAATTTCTCTTTTGTGTATGTATGGCTATTATATCTGGCAAATTTTATGTATGTATGCCTATTATATCTGGCAGGCAATAGTGTTGTGGTATTGTAAGTTCTTTGCTTTTCCTGGAGGAAATTCATGCCAAAAATGGCACACACTTGAGGAAATTCATGCCAAAAATCATTGAACATGTTGAATATTTGGTCATAGGCATACGGGATTGATGCTTTCCAGGGGGGGGCAGTTAAAAGTTTGCCCGACTTTTTATGGAGGATTGTAATGAAATTGCCTGAATTTAACCTATTTGCTGATAAATCTGCCGGAATTTTCTTGAATTTTCCTAACATTTGCCCGAATTTCCAGGGTTTTCCAAAATTTGGGGGGGGCAGTTGCCCCCCTGTCTCGTACGCCTATGTATTTGGTGCGGTGACAAAACACCACACATCGTTGTGTGCCAGGTGTTTAGCAAATTTCTTATATAGTTTTAAAGTGTTTTAAAAAGTCAACTGATCACAGAACCTGCTCATATAGGTTCATGCAGATCCAATTGTCAAATCCAGTCAGGCTTATTTTACATACTATATAGTCATAGAAGATCCAATAACTTATAATTCAGTCAAACAAACTTTAAATTTGGGTGTTCGCTGCATTATAGAACTAACCCTAACCCCAAACAAAATGGTGGTGTTCCGGTAGTCAGTGTTTTACTACATGCCTCCATCAAGGGCTTTTATTATACATACAATATCAAATAAAATATTCTTGATTACAAATACTGTATATTTTACATTCAATTCGAAATTAACTAATAATTAAGGAAATAACACAATGGGATTAATTAATGTTGGGCCCCTCACCAACTTCCACTCTGGCTACGTCACTGTGTGGCGACCCAGTCTGAATGAGAATATCAAAGGTATAGCTTACCAAACCAGAAAGTGTTTTTAATAGCAACCATTTCATGAACATGACACAAGCATGGAGAACTAAGATATGTGAATGATTTCCTCAATGGTGAAATGCTGCAAATAAGCTGAATATCAGGCCTTTTTCTAGGGGCATACTCCCATCTATGCATTGCTGGCAATTCCAGTAGCTATATATATATAAGTTTTTAATCCACTTGAAATGCAAGTTCGCATAGAATAACACTAACTAAGGCTTCCAATTCATGCTTGCGAAAAGATGTTTGTTGCAACTTGCTGTACATAAAGAATTTGGAGGTAGCCCTCTCCCTGTCGGTGTCCATCAATGCATGCAACATATCATTTTATTACATATCAACTACAGTAATCAATAAAACGTCTTCTTGGTCTTGTACTACTTCACGACTGACACAAACTCTCGAGGGAACATTCCTTTGCGTCCGCGAAACTCTCCACACCACCAGGTATCATCCTCTTGGCGTAGAACTGTAATCATATCTCCTTCATGAAATGATAGTTCTTCAGTGCCCTGTGCTGTGTAATCAAAGTCTGCTCGGACCTTCTTAACTGTTGGTTTGGGCCGTTTCTTGACATCCTGAACTGTTGAATATGTTGGATCATCTTCTATATCATCGTAGTCTAGAACTGAAAATATACAGTTATTATTTGTAGAATACTAGGATGTGAGTTAAGATAGTTTGTAAGTATAACATGCCCCATCTGAAAATCAACTCATTGTATTTTTACAAATGTGTTGTGTATGGCCAGTGTGGTTAAATAAATTTTTAAGTAAGTAAGTAATGTTATTGTCGATTCCAAGTCCCTTGTAAACACTCAGGCCCCAAACTTTGTTGCCACTTGCCAATTACGTTCCTAAGTTTGAAAATTGGACGTTCATTGAAATAAGTTCATTTCAATGTTTTGAACCTCATTTGTAAATAATTAATGAATAATGTTCATAGCTTAATAATAACCAATTCAATAACATACAAACCTTCTTGGTAGACCACTGGACCAAGAACGTTCCATTGAATTGTTACAGTAATTTCAACTATGAACATTTGTTACACTAGAAGTTCAAATGTTGAAATGAACTTGCAAACTTTGTTGCGAAGTTTATGCCCAATTTCCGAAACCAATCTCATACCCAAGGTATTACCTTCACTGTTTCCGAACTTGGACATTTATTTGGCATGTTTGCAACAAACTTGGTATTGAGTGCATGTTGTAAAGTGACTTGAAATCAACAATAATGTAATGCAATAAAAAGACCCTAAGCATTATTGAATGTAAAAGGATTCTACAGTATAATATAACTTACCATTTGTTTTTGGTGTAGCACCTGGGGTAGGTGGTAAAGAAACTCTTGCCATGGGGTGATTTGCCCACTGCTGTGAAGGTAAACCTGTTTTCTGATTGTTCTGTGCTGTGTAGAAATTCTCGTACAAAATTTCAGCTGCAGAAAAAATGTTAAAATATTGAAGGGAAGTAAAATTGAAAAATAAAATCCCAGTCAAACCACAGTCCCAGAGGTTAAAGTCGCATGCCCCCAATGGTTAAAGCCCTAACCATTTTGCCAATTGGCACCAACAATGGCCCATGTCAGTATCTAAACTCACTTACCAGGCCTCTCGCCTCCTGTTTGCTTTGTACTAACAAACAAGCGAATATCAGAATCAATATCACAACGTTCCAAGGATTTCCGAATCTCCTCATAATTCTAAAAACATAAACAACAGTGGGTTTAACCCATTATTAAGCTGCAATGTGCCCACTGCGTTATTACCCCACCATGCCCAACACCAGACAACTCTACTTGTCAAGTGGAAGTGTTGGGCTGTAATGGGTTAATTTTAACTTAAATACAGTAATAAACTTGACCTTCCAGATTTCCCTGTTACAATACACCCAACGTTTTTATTTTACTCTGTCTAACACCAGATGACTTTACTATTAATAATATTACTAATAATACTATTAATAATTAACAATACTACTATTATAACATTAGGTAAATTTAAAGCTTTCTCCTGAGACATACTTTGTCAGCTTTAACACAATTTGTTGATCCAAGATTTGTGTAAGTCCAAAAACTATTTCTCAGAAATGAAATTCTCTCCACTTCCAGTTCTTGGAAAGTCTTGGAAATAGAGAAAGGGTAAATTTTAGTCTTATAAACCTACTGTATACATATAACTAAATGAACAACAAAATAGGAATAGCTATGAATCCACATATAAATTAATATAGAATTTTTTTAGATAAAAAGGTGTATTGAATAATATGTTATGAAATGCATTTATGGTACAGGCATACATACAATCATTGAATTGTCTGCAAAATAAATAATATGTGGTGTTCTCCAAACTAATATGTAAAACAATGTTTGAGCAACAAAAATTACACTTGCACAAGAAAATATTTCTGAATTTGTTTGGAAACATTTTTTTCTTGGGTCGAAGCAAATTCCTTTTTTTGCAACATTGTTTAAGTCATTCAAGGAAACAATTAAGGTAACGTCCAAATTTGCCACTGTTTTTCTGTCAATGTCTCTCTGGCTTAAAACATAAACAGTTCGAGTATCTTACATTACAACAGATAGCCATTTCTCGCTCCCATTCTTTCCGCGACTCTTCCAGTGATTTCACCGTACTTTGATAGTTTGTATCTAATTAGAAAGGACTCCTTTTTAGCAAGACACACTAACCCAAATATTGAAAATTGGGGAGAACAAAATTCTTCAAATTACCTGCATTCTCCATTGCTGTTTTTGCCCTTGATAGTCTTTGACGAAGCTAAGATAGAATTAAGAGAATTAATAAATTTGTTTTTCCCACTTTTTTATGACCAATCTCTCAACAACTCACTTCCAAACTACAAAATGAAAAGCTAATTGCCTATTACCTTTTCTTCTTCCTTACTACTCTGCTGTGAAGCAGATTTCTTTAACGTTTCTTCACAAGTATCTTGGTCTCTGCATTTCAGTTCATAATTTCTTTTCCCCTGTATTGAGAAAACCACATTCCTTTTAAAATAGGGTCAGTTTCTATCAATTGTACAGCAAACTAAGCATACTTTTAAATTGTTCTCCAAACATGTCTTTTTTTCTTTCTGAGCTTTTTTCACATTATCTTCAATCTGTAAGAATCGCATCACCACGGCATATTATAAGTTAATAGTCGGGCACTATAATTGTGGGTGAGGCTCAAAGCAATGTGTATCTAGACCTATATATGTTATACCGGTTTTCGTTTGTTCTTTTGTTCCTCCCTGAATTCACGGACACCTCGCTCAATTTGTTCCATCAACTGTTGACTGAACTCAACATGAGCACGTCCAATATTTTCTGTCTCTAGAAGAAGTATAAAAGAAAGAACGCATGGCCATGCTTGTAGATTTTATTTTTGTGTTGGCCGTAGCCAATTGAGTGGAGCTTGGTAAATGCATCCATTAGTCAGTGCATCCATTAATTAATTTCAGGCTTAGATAAAATGTGATTTTTGGGGTTAGCATGCAATACCAGATTTCTTAATTCAACTAAGGTTTGAAGTATTGAATTTTGAGCTGGCCCTTGATAGTAAGGAAGTAACATCACTAGCCACGGCTCCCTAACTTCCACAGCTACCCAACGAGAATGGGATTTAGTTAGTACATACCTTGCCTTAACAAATCCCATGATTGTTTCAATGTGCTAAAATGGAAAGATTGAGCTAAAGTATGCAAGGTCACAAAAACCAACTGACTAACCGACCAATCAAGTACCCGTAATTTGACATGTTACAACTCTTTCAAAACATGTAGCTCTTGCTTACCCGATTTCAACTCCATTTTCTCCAGGTCTAGCAAGTTTTAACAATGCTTTGCCATATCTTTCTTCAACCTCAGCCCTGTAGAGAATAACATCTCAATACAACCTTTTGTTAATTACGTCACACATACTTTTTGGTCTTGGAGCCTCGCTCTCATCAGTAAATTATGCAAAGTGATTGGCTCATGATTCATGACAGCGACGCTCCTAGGCCAAATGACGTAATTATTGAAAGGGTGTATTATAGGTTAACTGTAATATAAATTTGCATGCTCAACACACATTGTTATAATGCAATCATACTATATGTCAGGTAAATACCTTTGTTTTATGAATTCTTCAAAATCTATGCACATTTGTTTGCCATCTCTCACACGCCTACACAATGTGTCAAATCCTGCTGTACTGTTAAAATCACTACCCTATAAATTTGAAATATATTAATTTTTCATTTACACGTAGTCTTAGTTCATTTACACATAGTCTTAGTCCTATATTTTATTTAAATTCATCCAATTAAACAGTAGTTTGCCCTTATTGTGCAGCCTTCTATATTATTTGACTTTGTACAAAGGCTGCAATCTATCTTCCATGCAGTCAGGCACAGGAGCGAAACGCGAGGGGTTGGGGTTTGCCCCCCCCCCAAAAAAAATACAAATCATCTTGATTGGCAGGGCAATCAAAGATGTTGGACGTTGTTCTGGACATGTGGGCTAAAATGAAAAAATTTCCAATAAAATTAAATAAATGAATTGAGTATGTATGAAATGAGTATAATTTTAAATGATAGAATGTAGAGTTATTAAGTAACTTTTTACAGCTAGCAAACAATAAGCAGTTTGTATGCATATACATTGGCATCGGCAGTTCAATTATACACATAGCTTAGTGGTGTAATATTGTATGTAGGCTGCAGGGCATCATTGGTTTTGGCAGGGCAATTCTGCCAGATACCCCCTAATTAAAAGGTCCTAGTTTCGCCCATGTCCATGCACCCTACTTTATTATTTTACTCCGTCTTAAACACTAGACAATTTTGGCTGTCAAGGGGAGAGTGCTGGTACTCAAAGGCTTAATCACACTATGCCCACATGTCTAGTTAACCAATTTAGTCACCCTAATGTGCCCTACTCTGTTATTTTACTCTGTCTAATGCCAGACAAGTTACCTGTCAAGGAGAGAGTGCTAGCACTCTATGATTAATCAAGGAATTTGGAATTTTTTATGGGAATTTAAAGAGTTTTTTTTTAAATTGGAAGAACTGATTGCAGAATCATGTGGACATGCATTATTAGTACATGTTGCTGTGTTTGTGTGCCCAGATATGTATATAACAATTTTTGTTGATGGTTGTGGTAGTTTTATATATGAATAAATTATATCACAGTACAGTTTGAGCATGTGCAGATTCAAGGTTAACATCCCACAAGCCTGGCAGCAAATACTGAAGAATAAATACTCATGGATTCAGAACCCTTATTACCAGATGGTCTCCTCCTAAGGAGACAATCTAGGGCTTATAAAACAATCTAGGGATTATAAAACAATCTAGGGATTATAAAACAATCTAGGGCTCATTGGGAGCATTGCAGTTAACTCATTTAGTTGCAATGTGATCCAATGATGTGACCCTTTGTTATTTACACTGTCCCCCTCCCCCCCCCCCCAAAATGACTTTATTTGTGAAGGGGAAATTATATTTGGTATGCATGAGTTTCTACCGTGTCCCTTTAACCTATTGACACTGTATATATGGTTAATAACCTATTACTTGTCAGGGGATTTCTTTAACAAAATTTGGTGACAAGAATTTTTGTCCCTTAAGTGTGAAGTGGGAGGAGCAATTAAAATTATTATTAATCCAAATCCTTTAACAGGAAAAGGGTGGTGTAATTATAACAAAGTTTAGATTTTGACAAAAGTTTCAATTATTAATTAAAGTGCTGCGCTTTAAAAAACATTATATGACACCCACAAGAATCGCTTAATATTTAATTTTACAACAAAATTGAAACAAGATAAACAACAAACCACACAACCATATAGCAGATGAAATCAGAACACTGAAATATTGGCAAGAACAGTTTCTAAGCAACCTCGGAACCACTGTAAAACTGAATTTTTTTAATCTACGAGACATTTGTGTAATTTATAACCAATCTAGTTTGTTTAGGGTAACCTAAATTGCCGACCTCTGTCGACGGATGATATATACACCGGACATTTTGCAGGAACTACACAATATAAACAAACTAACACACAAAATGTCATACGAATTCGAAAAATGATCTATCATTTTCGATTTTTCCTTTAAATATCAACTTGCAATCCATAGGATACAACAATTTCAAATCCCAAACGTTGACTAGCTGGACTGGCTTCCTTTTGGCTTGTTTCGCTTACTTCCTTATTACAATATGATACATTTATAGCAGGACACTCGCTCTCACCGTAAAAATATGTAATATTTACCACCCTTTATTACGGGTGAAAATAGCAAACAAGCTACTTACCCAAAAGCAGTCAATAAAACGTGTTTTAGTCATGATTGGTTAATGTTTCGTTACAAAATAAAAGGCTTCTTTGAAGTTCTTTCACTGCATTTCACACAACACTGTTTCGAAACAATTCATTAAATTTTCTAGGATATGAACCACCTACGACAATTTACGACCACTTCCGACCGGATATTTAAACCATTTTAATCGTAGATTTTCCCCGGGGCTAGAACTCGTAAGTATACGGGGGAAAATATAAAAACTCGGAATAAGGGAAATTACAAGGCCGTCGGAAGAAAATCAATATTGGAGGGAGGCTCAAGAATAAATCTGAATTGCTTTCGCACTTTTCTAGTTCTTTTCTGTGTTTTGCTTACACAAATGGAAATTATTGGGGGCTCAAGCTCCCCTAGGCCCTAGCCCCCCCCCCGCTTCTCCCCCCATGCAATGTGATGACCGTATAACATTACAACATAAAACAATACGATCAACAAATATAGGCTAATTAAAGTAGGTTTACTGTTTTACGTTTTACGACATGGACAGTTGCGCACTATTGTCCAGGTCAAGTGCATTATATGTATCTATAACTCTATATCAAATGTTGTCGCAAGCAAGTTCCTGTCTTTAAGGTTCTTCAGAAGGAGGAGAGGTCAAGTTGACAGGAGGCAGATTTTTGTTCTATTTATACTTTTTTATGCTACATAGGATATTCTGCAGCTCACTCCCCATTGGGGCTTTTCAGTGACCGACTACATCAAGTATTACGCTTACTTATATTACCTACTAAGCTTAGACTATTTAGTATTTATTTTTACAGATATTACTTTCCTGACTATCTTTATCATTTAATTATCAACATGTGAACCAACGATAGCTGACAGGGGGCCCCTGACAGACATACAATATAACTGTTTTCCAGTCCGATATGACAACCAAATTCGGCAATGGAAAGTTTGTAAACATTCCATCCATTACTCTCATTGATCAATTCATTTGTTGAAATATTGATCAAGTTCCTATCGATCTGGTTTCCTTTTCCAATGTGCTGAAACGAAATCGGAGACCACGTGGCAGACTTCCAGAGCCATGCAGAGGAAGTTGAACAATTTTTCAATTTTGGCCGATAACCGGAAATATGCATGGTTCAATTATTTTTGTTACCACCCCCGACGATTTGCGGATTTCTCAAATCCTGGGGAAATAAAGACACCATTTAATACCCCACCCCAGGGACAACATTCACACATCATTATGACGCAAACACGTTGTCAAAATTTCACAAATGTCTGCGACCTTTGAAAGGCATTCACTATAAGCCTATTACAGTAAAAGCCTTGTTAGAGTCCTATTAGTTTTTTTAAAACAAAAAATTTGACAAATTCAAATGACTTCACCAAAATTCAAAAAGTCTTCCTGATGACTTGAGTGGAAAATTGAAAATCACTCGTTCACACACATTGACACACAAATTAAACTTTGCAAAGCATTCCTAAGTTTCGTGTTTTTATTCGGTCCACTTGATTTGTTATACAAAATATACTTTATTAAAATAAATACGTATTTTACATTGTTCTGGTTATATCACTAAAACGTGCATATACTTTATATGTTCTAAATACTATACAGATATGAAAATAGCTTGTCGATTATCATATTATATAAATACCAGGAACTATATGGATATAAAGGATCCGAGAATATCTTACTAAGTAGGCCTGGGGGCGGTTGTCCAAAGCCACTTACCTTAACCCTAGGCTAACCTAAAATTCGGAGCAAACTTCGTAACAGCTTTGTCAGCTTGTTTATTAGTAAATTTGGAAATATTTCTTCAGAAATATTGTCTGTTTATCAGTAGGAGTTTTCTTCTTTGAAGTTTTGAAATAAACAGACGTGCAGAAATACATAAACTGAAAGATTTCTAGGTAACTATTTCCAAGTTTATAAAGTTTGAAGTTTGGTCTGACCAGGGGTCTGACCATTGAACTATAAATAAACTGGAAGGCTAACTGCTATGATGAAGGCCTATGATTTGATGAAGCCAAAATAGTTTTTCTGAGTTATGAGCAGAAATACTTGACCCCAAACGTCGGGCTATATATCAAATTGAAGCTATTGAAAATTGCTATTCGGTGTGGAAATTTCAAGACTTCAGCGAAAAGAAAAATATTTAAAAAATACAAAAACAACTGCAAAACGGCAAATTATCGGTAATTATGTTTGTAGTTTTTCAATATTTCCCTTTTAGCTAAAGTCTTGAAATTTCTACACCAAATAGCGTTTTTCAATAGCTTCAATTTGATATACAGGGTGTATCAAAAAAAACTGAACAGATTTGAAATTGCTCTCAATTTCGCAAAACACCTATTTGTATCCGGTTTTTTATATATATAGCTTCGTTGGGTACTTATAATGTAGAATAATGAAAAAAATTTCTCGAACTCAAATTTTGTGAACCAGGGGGGTGTGTCTTTTCCAACAAACTAAAAATGGCTCGCGCACAAAATTTAAAAGCTGCAATCATATTTTGAGTTAATAGATGGAAAATTTGTCGGGTTTTTAATTACCGTACAAAATTTCACGCAATTTGGTTTAGTTTAACTAACCTTAACTATTCACGCAAAGTTACATTTTTCCTAAAAATCAGCTATTTGCATGCTTAATTAATGCATTTGCCTAATTTGCATATGTCAGCAATATGCAAATTAGGTAAAGGCATTAATTAAGCATGCGAAAGGCTGATTTTTTAGAACAAAATGAATAGTTAAAGGACTTAAACTAAACGAAATTGTCTGAAATTTTGTACAGTAATTAAAAACCCGACAGATGTTCCATCTATTAACTCAAAATATGATTACAGCTTTTAAATTTTGTGCGCGAGCCATTTTTAGTTTGTTGGAAAAGACACACCCCCCTGGTTCACAAAATTTGAGTTCGAGAAATTTTTTTCATTATTCTACATTATAAGTACCCAAAGAAGCTATATATATAAAAAACCGGATACAAATAGGTGTTTTACGAAATTGAGAGCAATTTCAAATCTGTTCAGTTTTTTTTGATACACCCTGTAGATGTAACGTAATTATAATATCTGAAGTACTGAAAGTGAAAGGAGGGATGCACTAGAATTCAAATCCAGCCTCATCAGTCAAATATTATAATTGATTCCTAAAAATGACGCAATTAATGTTGTTCAGAAACAATAATTTTTCACTTTATTAAAAATTTCGGTTTTTTGAGGTTTCCCCATTCACGACTAAACAGTCCCAGCCAGATCGTTTGTGAAACTCCGGGCCGAACTCAGAATATTCACTCCAGTGCATCCCACTTATTCATGTGCTATGTAGTATGTTTATTGTAAAAGGAATACGAATTACATGAGCTGAAAGGCAACCAGTTAAAATCCGATGGTGAAAATAATATGTACAATAAAATATTGTCTTTGTACAAAATAACTGTATAAATATTAACAGAACAAAACTGCACTTAAAGATATTTACATTTGTGAATAATCAAAAGTTTATGATGGGACAGAACAATCGAATTATCTTGGAACGTATGTTGCATCTTCCGAAGGAAAATCATCGTCGGACATATCACTGGAATCAAACGTCATGTGAACAGCGTCAAGGAAAAACAGACAAACGCGAACGAAATAAAATACTTCAGATTACAAGTTACAACTATACAGTGATTACTTAGTATAATTGTGGAAATAATGATGACTTATAATACAGTTTTAGATTTGACTTCCACTACCGCTACCTCTCACCGGCTTAGTACGCGTCTGATTGGTTAATCGGATATATCAAACGCATATGATTGGTTAATGGTCCCTTAATGGTAGCGGTTGTCAAATCCGAACCTCTCTATTGATAAATAGGATTCCGTTTGTTTGAAATAATGAAATTTGACGATGCCAAATATCTAATGGTGATGAACATATGCGTGACAATGATAAATCGTCACCATTAAAGTAATTAGTTTATCATTAGCTTGCATAGTAGCCGGGTTTTTTGGGAGGATTTGTGCTACGTAGGCTAGTTTATCATTGTCAATTCTTCATTTATAATGAACTAATGATTGTTGTTGAAAAAGGATAGATAGGTCGATGAGTTAATGATGCTGACAAATTGATGAATCTGTATACGTATGTTACATGCTTCTTATGTTAGATACTGTATGTTGCAAAGAGAGACACTGCATGCAATGCGTTTGATGAATTTTCTTGTTCGTTTACAAACGAAATCGAAATATGTATATTGTTTTTTTAGTATGGCAACCCCTATGACAACGTTTTCAACCTGGAAAAGGAGGTGGGGTGAAATCGTTTATTTTTATATTATGGAGATTACGACGATTATGTTACTATTGTGTAATTTTAAGACTGTTTGACAAATGCTAAACTGTGATAGAAATCAAATTAACACAAATGATTTTGATGGCTATTCACATAGACATGCAAAATGATCTAAATACGTTCATACACACGTTAAAACAAATGCTGCAGGATGCGATAATGGCTAGTGAGAATCAACCTCGTTCCCAGGCTCTTTGCTTCCCAAGAGCAAAGAGCCTGGGAACGAGGTTGAGTGAGAATATGACTTAGCTTCAGAAATTTATTGAAAGGATATTTTTTTGCGTTTTTTCTTTGATCTCGGCTTCGGTCTTGCTTTGCTGCTTGATGGTGTTTTCCTACTTGGAGTTTTTCGAGGTTTTGCAGGTCGTTTTTCTTTGCTTTGAACTGTATCCTAAACACAAAACAAAATTTCATAAAACACTTCTGTTTGTAATTTAGAATGAATACTTAGTAACAAAACATGTTTTACAAAATACCTGACAACTTTCTCCGCCTGTTTCACCAGATGGACTCTCTCGACCAGTGGAATCATGGTCACTGTCATCTTCTGATTTGTCCAAATTCATAATCATCGTTTTAAACTAGAGAGAAATGAGGTTAATGGCTAATACACACTGCTGGGGGCTTGATTATATAATCAGGTGCTGCAGGTTCGGGAAGCACATTTTGTTGTTGCTCCCTCTATTGGTCGACGTTTACTCACTCAAATATAAGACTTCAGTAATACAAAGAAAAAATGATACGGGCTGTATAGAGCACATACCAAAATGATGATCTGTTTGAATTTTATATCAAAAGAGCTCTTCCCACACTTTACCTCCAAATATTGCTCGACGAATTCTTCTCTGGAAGGCAACATACATCCTGATTCAAGACAACAAATTGGTTGACCTGGATGAAATTTAACACCAGGTTTTCTCGTTATTGCTTTGTCATATGCTTTACTTGGCTCCGAAGGTGAATATTTTCGACACTTGCTGCAAATATATCAAAGCATTCCATATTTACTAAATGCACACTGAATATAAAATTAGGCAGTGGAAGAGAAAGAAAGCTCATTACATCCAGGATTACATGAGAAAACATTATTACATAACAGGATGGTTATGTTATTGTGAGCACAGTTCTTCTAGTTAGACTCTATACCACCACACCGCAGTTAGGTTTTTTCTGGCCTTACCAGTTCTGGCCTTTACTGGACCTCTAGAGAGCAGGCCTTAAAATATCTTTTACAGGGCTGTCTGACAAAATGTCCGATGACGTTGAGTTTGGGTTGCACATATGTCCGATGACCTTCAGTTAAGTTTTGACTCGGAAATAAGTCTGAATGACACAAATGAATATCAGCACAATGTATTAATTCTGAACGGTAACTGTTGTGAAGATATTAAATAATTTGTTTCTTTCATACTTATTTCCAAGCCAAAATTAACTTGCTTTCCAGAGCAACAGTATTAAAAAAGACTTCGACAACTTAAGCCCGTTTTCCACTTCACCATTTCGCTCGCCGCCCCACGCTCGACTACGTTAATTAAAACAACATTTCCAGTTCACCTTTTATACAATAGTACTCTGATTTTCCATTTAACATACAAGCCTCTAGTCCTGGGCTAGGGTACATTTTGATTTACGTTGGACAAAGCTATAGTTCGGTCGGACACAAATACACTCAGGTCGGACAAACAATAAACCTCAGTTTCACTTAGGTCGGACAGAATGTCCGGTAGTTTCCTCTCTACGTCGGACAATTTCACGAATGGGTCGGACAATGTCCGTGACCGACCGATATTTTAAAGCCTGCTTAGAGAGAGCTGTTTAGACAGAACCGATAGAGATATCCAGGATAGTATAATTAGAGCATCATTTACTGGAACAGGAGGTTGATAAAAAAGTTAGTGTAATAGACCTTACCGATTATGCTCTTTTACCCAGTGGCCTCGTTTTCATGTCAAATACTTACTCATGGTTTGTGCTTAGTAGGGTTGAAAATTACTTTGTTATCGAGCCTAAGAACAGTAAGAAACAAATTCGTGCAGGAAAACATGGGAATATAATCTTTATCTGCCCCTGACATGTTAAAATAAGTTAACATGCAAATGAGGCCATTGGGTAAAAGAGAATAATCGGTAAGGTCTTTTGAAAACCGAACTAACCTGTCGTGTAAGTTGTAGGTTTCCTTCAAATGGTGTCGTAAGTGAAGCAAGAGCATACAGTTTTGCCATGATTTCCAGCAACTCTCGAGTAGCTTCAAATCAGTTGGTAATCGTTCTAAAAGGAAACATGCACATAGATGAGGGATCAACATAATCTGTTAAGGGAGGCACAGTGGTTATTGCACGACCAAGTTTTAATTTCTGCATTTTGCAATTGTTTGAATAGAATTTCGCCTCAGATTAGAACGTTTCCAGATCATGGCTAATGAAGCTACATGTTTAAAGATAATCTGGTGATGTGGCAGCTGTTTGACCAGTCCCTCATGATGAAATTCCTATCAAACAACTTCGAAATACTCCTACATAAAACCTACCGAATATTTTCTCAGCATTATCTTCCACGTCATCACGTACGTCTCCATTCTCGGTTTGCACTGGAGTGAGGGCCTAAAATTACACAATATCCTTTAACAAAATTCATTATTCTTTATGAATTTTGGTATGCACACATCATTATAGATACATTTTGAAACGCCATGTTAACAAAATTGAAATATTGTTACCTGTTGAAACGACTGTAGTATATTCATGCCACTGAACGACAGTTTCGAATCGATATTGTGTATAACAAATAAAGGTTCTTCTAACGTTGAGTACGGGAAAAAGGCCATAGTATCCACAACAAAAAGTAGCATATCTAAACCATTTTTCTAAATAGAGTAAATAAAAAATACTTAAATTGAACAAAAGACACGTCCCGAATTTGCTTGCGAGCACACAAGATAATGGCGTGAGATAAAGACGGTCATGGACAGCCTAAGAAAATGTTCCTTTAAAACAGCTACTCGCAAACTTTGTGATATTTCTTGAATTCTTCAAAACTTGTCAGCTAGCTGCTGTTTACTTTAGCATTCGTTTCGATACTTATTTGTCGAAAAGACGCTGAATTATGAGCATACAACTCACGGTATATTTTTGGATGGCCAGTTTTGACACACTGGCCGCTAAGAGCCTGGCACGAGGTTCGTTTATTTCTATGACTTTTACACAAAACTAATGAGCGAAGAACGCATTAGAGGTAATGCAGAATATTCACAACTTTAAATATTATTTAGAAATAATATAACATACTTTTTCGTCATCAATCATTCTCAGTAATGATAACAAGAAAGAACGCCTATGTTGACGACTTGAGCGAAGAATAAGGTAAAGGTGACTCAGAAGACTTGTGTTTTCTTCACGGAAACCTCGTACAAACGGTTCGTCCTGACAAAAAAGGAAATCACAGGTATCAAAAACAGTTTTACTGTCTGTTCTCTTTTAAATTTCTTTCTTTAAAAATCGAAAGAAAAGCTGTTATACCTTATGAAGAACTTTTTGTAGGTCAAAGGACATCTTAACTCCTGCAAGTGCTTTCATCTAGAAAACACAGTTAAAACGCGATTGTCAGCAATTGTGAATTATTCAACATTCTGTATATGTTACTGCCTCGTCCAAAATTTACTGCAACCAATCAATCAGATTTTGAGGGGAGGCGTGGGAGAAGTTCGGACCTCCCCTGAGATCGTTTTGCACCTCCAAGGAGAACATCCTTAATGGAGAACATACTTAATCGAGGCAAAGTTATATTGAAAGTTTTCGGATTGAAGATTAAAGTCATTGGGCACCCAAATCAGGGAATCGCTGTATCAACCCCTGCTATACACGACCTGTAATTATACAAGTAAATTTTGATGTCAAAATCTGTGTCGAGATTACCTGAACAAATCCAGGGTATTTACTGTCAATTTCCTCTAATCTTTGTGCTGCTTTAGTTCTTACTCCTTGTTCGTTATCCGCACCAATTGCAATAAGATACGACACACACTATAATGAATAAAAGAGAATGAAGAGTTAGTACTAACTTCCCGACGAAGGGCCTTCATCTCGGAACGTCGAAGTTCTCCTTGTACTTTTCCAGGGATGGATTTACTGGGGGGGG